GGCAGGCCGTAAACGACTCGCCAAAATGGATCCGGATATGCCACGAGGAGCAATGTCGCCTCATGGTGGCCAGGACTTGTTTGTCCACTAGGACTGGTGTTAGGCCCATTTTGGACACGCCCCCTGAGTCCGAGATCCCTTTGCCGCCCCCTTACTTTCCTTTAAGAGGAAGTGACGCGAATGCAGGAAGTTCTGCACCCCTTCCCCTATTGCCCCCATCCACTTCCGCTTCCTCCTCCAGTACAGAATCCACCCCCCCTCGTATTAAAACTCCCCTTCCGGAACCAGGACCAACCCCCATTAGATCTGAATATCCTGATTTGGCGCCACTTCAAACTTCCGGTCAAGCTTCTTCTAGCTCGGCTCGGAGTATACTATTCACTAACTTTTCCCAAAATCAAGTTCCCACATCCTCATGCCCTATTACCTCTCGACCGGAACCTTTAACTGACGCCCCTCCACGTAGCCCCATACTAACCCGACAACTGACCGGTACCCAACAATTAAAACATTATCAGATGCCTCTTCGTCTGAATCCTGGGTCAGCCTATATCGATGCCGCAGGTCAAATGGCACATGCTGACCCAGTCTTCGTATATGTCCCGTTCACGACTACCGATCTCTTGAATTGGAAGACCCACAATTCCTCGTACACTGAGAAACCACAAGCTATGACCGATCTGTTCACCTCGATAGTTCAGACACATAACCCGACATGGGCTGATTGCCAGCAGTTATTAATGACATTGTTCAATAATGAGGAAAGGACAAGGATTAACCAAGCGGCCATTAAGGCGCTAGAGGAGAGAGCCCGTGCTTTAAATCAAGCCAATCCGGCAGCATGGGCCGCAACACATTACCCTAACACCGATCCTGACTGGAATGTAAATGGCGCAGATATGGCTCAACTTAAAGCCTATAGAGATGCTATAATTGCTGGCATGAAAGCCGGAGGGAAGAAAGCTATTAACATGTCGAAGACAGTTGAGGTGATTCAGAAAAGTGATGAAGCGCCCAGTGTCTTTTATGACCGATTATTGGAGGCATACCGCTTGTATACCCCCTTTAATCCGGAAGGCGCTGATAATTCCCGAATGGTAAACTCCGCCTTTGTCAGCCAAGCTTACGGAGATATTAAGCGCAAGCTACAGAAATTAGAAGGGTTTGCAGGTATGTCTATCACCCAACTAATGGAGGTAGCGAACAAAGTATATATGAATAGGGAAACAGAAAGTAAGAAAGAGGAAGAGCGCAAGATGCGTAGAAAGGCAGATATGCTAGCGGTAGCGATCGCAGGCGTAGATAGACGGGGCCCAGATAGAGGCGATGGTAGATGGAATAGGGAGCCTTTGAGTAGGAATCAGTGCGCGTACTGTAAGGAAGAAGGGCATTGGAGGAACGAGTGTCCGCAAAGAGAGCAGTATGAGAGAGACTTACCCAGGGCAGGTTACGGAAACTTTAGAGGCAGAGCGAGAGGTAGAGGAGGCCCCGGAGGGAGTAATGGTAATAGAGGGAGTAATGGGAACAGAGGAAGTGTAAGGGAAGATAGGTACTATCCAGCAGCGCAAAGGTCCCGCGATAGAGAAGGTAGGGACTTTGTGGGATTGGCTGACACGGTCATGGAGGACTATTGATACCGACCGGGCTCCATCCCCCTTGGTCGAGCGGAGCCTATGGTCGATGTATCAATAGGGGGAAAAAGGAGTGCGTTTATGATCGACACTGGTGCTGAACATTCGGTGGTGACTAATCAAGTTGCTCCTCCATCTGGAAGAACTATTACTGTAATAGGAGCAACTGGAAGAAGTGCTGAAAAACCGGTTCTTAAAAGTCGACTCTGTACATTGGGAGGCCACGTAGTAAAACATCAATTCCTTTATATGCCTGAGTGTCCAGTCCAATTGCTGGGACGTGATATGCTATCCAAATTACAAGCGCAGATTACGTTCCTACCAAATGGAACAACATCCTTAAAGTTTAATGGACCCTCAGGTATTATGACATTGTCTGTACCAAAGGAAGAAGAGTGGCGACTTTATACAGTGTTGACTAGCCAAAACCCGAGGAGTGATGAATCCTTATTTAACATACCAGGAGTTTGGGCAGAGAACAACCCACCAGGACTGGCCCGCAATATTCCACCTATTAAAATCGAACTAAAACTTGGGGTTTATCCAGTAAGCCTGAGACAATATCATATTCCGCAGAAGGCTAAGAAGAACATCCAATCTTATCTGGATAAGTTCATACGGTATGGTATCCTAAAATTCTGTACTTCCCCTGGAACACCCCATTGCTGCCTGTTCAAAAGCCCGGTACAGATGAGTATCGACCTGTGCAGGACTTGAGAGCAGTCAATGATGCGGTTGTTAGTATACATCCAGTCGTGCCCAATCCATATAACCTGCTTGCTTTAATTCCGGGCGGGGCTACTTACTTTACAGTCTTAGATCTCAAAGATGCCTTCTTTTGCCTCCGAATTGCCGCAGAAAGCCAATGTATCTTCGCTTTCCAATGGGAAAATGCTGTAACGGGCTCGAAACGCCAAATGACCTGGACAAGATTGCCCCAGGGGTTTAAAAATTCACCTACCCTATTTGGTTCAGCTCTAAGTCAAGATCTACTAGATTTCGAGTCTATCCCAGGAGAGTGTGTATTATTACAATATGTAGATGACTTGTTGATAGCAGCAGTTACAAAGGAAGTATGTCAGCAAGCAACGCACGATCTACTACACATTCTCTGGAAGGCAGGATACAAGGTGTCTAGAAGGAAGGCTCAGTTGTGTTTGCCAACTGTCAAATATCTGGGATTCCATATCTCTGAAGGTCAAAGAATTATGGGGCCAGAGAGAAAAGAAGCTGTGTGCCAAATACCGATACCCAGGAATAGAAGACAAGTGCGAGAATTCTTGGGGGCAGCAGGCTTCTGTAGGATATGGATTCCCAGCTACGCGATACTGGCAAAACCTCTGTATGCAGCTATCAAAGGTACAGAGCACGACCCCTTCTTATGGACTCAAGAACAGCAAACGGCATTCGAAGATGTGAAGAGGGCTTTGATGAGTGCCCCAGCATTAGGTCTACCTGACCACACACGGCCATTCTACCTGTATGTACATGAGCAAAGAAGAATGGCTGTGGGAGTATTGACACAGTACTTGGGATCATGGCAAAGACCTGTTGCCTACATGTCTAAGCAACTGGATGCAGTGGCCAGCGGACTTCCACCTTGTCTAAGAGCTGTAGCTGCAGCCGCCCTGCTAGTAGCTGAAGCCGATAAACTCACTCTGGGTCAAGAACTTTATGTACGAGTTCCACATGCAGTACAGACGTTGTTGGATTACAAAGGAAATCATTGGTTTAGTAACAGCCGTATGACCAAGTATCAAGCAATGTTGTGTGAAAACCCAAGAGTGCATTTAGAGACTGTAAATACCTTAAATCCAGCTACCCTTTTGCCACAACCTACTGAAAGTCAACATGATTGTTTGGAAGTAATGGATGAAGTATTTTCAAGTAGACCAGATCTTCGTGATTTTCCCATCCAGAACCCTGATGTTCAATATTACACCGGCGGCAGTAGTTATGTAAAAGAAGGGATCCGCTATGCAGGATATGCAGTAACAACGATAGACAAGGTGATAGAAGCTCGGCCACTGGCAAAAGGAACATCAGCACAAAAGGCAGAATTGATAGCACTGACACGAGCGTTACAATTGGCTGAAGGTTTAAGAGTGAACATCTACACGGACTCCAAGTATGCGTTTTTAACCACTCATGCCCACGGAGCTTTGTATAAAGAAAGAGGACTATTGAATTCAGAAGGCAAAGAAATCAAATACGCAGCTGAGATCCTACAACTATTGGAAGCAGTGTGGGAGCCGAAAGAAGTCGGTATTATACATTGTCGGGCGCATCTGAGAGGAGATGGTGATGTAACCAAAGGGAATCGGATGGCAGATAGTGCAGCTAAGCGTGCTGCTGAATCAGGAAGACAGGAATATGTGGGGCATATAGCTGCTCTTATACCAACTCCACTGTCTCAATGGACTCCAATTTATACAGCTCAAGAAGAGGAGTGGTTAAGGACTGAACCTGGAAAGTATTTGGAGAACAAATGGTATCAGTTAGAAGATGGAAGAATAGTTATTCCAGCATCACTAGCGGTAGAAATTGTCCAAAACTATCATAACGGGACACATTCTGGGAGAGACAGTACAGAAGAATCTCTCAGAAAACATTTCTACATACCAAGATTGTCCAACTTGACTCAGGCCATTGTACGTAGATGTGTAACGTGTGCTAAAAATAATGCAAGACAAGGACCAGTAAAGCCACCAGGAGTCCAGTTTATGGGGGACTTCCCATGTCCGATTTACAAATTGACTATACAGTGATGCCTAAATCGGGTGGACATCGCTACCTGCTGGTAGTGGTGTGCACCTATTCAGGCTGGGTAGAAGCATGTCCTACTCGTACAGAGAAAGCAGGAGAAGTCGTGAGATTCCTGCTACGAGAAATAATACCCCGATATGGACTACCCTGCTCTATAGGATCGGACAATGGTCCAGCTTTTGTTCATCAGTGCCTACAACAATTGACTCATATGCTTGGTATAAAGTGGAGGCTTCATACGGCATATAGACCCCAGAGTTCTGGTAAGGTAGAGAGAATGAATAGAACTATTAAGAATCAGTTGGCTAAAATGTGTCAGGAAACCCAACTTAAGTGGAACGTTCTCTTGCCCATAGCTCTATTGCGAATCCGTAGTACACCTACCAGAAGGATGGGCCTCTCTCCTTTTGAAATCATGTACGGGCGACCACCTCCCGTGCTTGGTAACTTAAGGGGGGATTTGAGTAAGTTGGGAGAAGGAATTACCCGGCAGCAGGTTGTAGAGTTGGGTAAGACTATTTAGGAGGTACAGAAATGGGTACAAGATAGATTACCTGTGAATATTTATCCCCCAATTCATAGTTACCACCCAGGCGACCAAGTGTGGATTAAAGAGTGGAATAATGTGCCGTTAGGGCCCTAGTGGAGAGGTCCTTATGTTGTTCTTCTGTCTACCCCTACAGCGATAAAAGTAGCCGAAGTGGCTCCGTGGATACATCACTCCAGGGTTAAACCAGCAGCAGCCGATTCCTGGCAAGTTACAGCAAATCCAGAGAATCCCTGCAAGATTCGGTTAAAACGCACGACTCAGTCGGAGTGACGAGGAACCTTGTAGATTACAAATTTTATTGTTTCAGAGACTTGGTAAGTGAGTGAGAAGGCCATAATAAAGCATGTCCACTCACCAACGAGTGTATAAGTCGGGGAAAGTCTTGAGGGGACCCCTGTGAAGACGAGCAGAACTCCATTCCCTGCAGTACTTACATCCTGGAAGCTGAGGTGCCTTCGCACGGACGAAGACTGAGGATGATGACGAAAGATGTATTTTTAATAATGTTTATTTATGTGTATTTTTATATTCAGGAAGGTAGAGGTACCAACACTCCTAGCTGTGAGGTATGCATTAAGACTACAAGAACAGGTAACCATATATCCCAGACCCTAATTTGGCATTCGCAATATGAGTGTAAAGGAGATGTATCAAGATGTAGATACTTAAATATAGAATATAGTGTGTGTCATTTAGGAGTAGGAGAACCTAAGTGCTTCAGTCCTGAGTATCAACCCCGTACAATTTGGTTGACTCTCAGAAATGGAGATTCTCAGGGAACCCTAATTAATAAGACGGTATTAAAATCCGTATATTCTTCAGGTGCTCTGCTATTTGATGCGTGTAAAGCAATATCAAGTGGTAGAAAGCCGTGGAATGTATGTGGGGATCTTAGATGGGAGAGGACGTATGGGTCTAACGATAAATATATTTGTCCCAGTAGTAAAAATAAATATGTAAGTCCAAGATGCCCAAATAGAGATTATAACTTCTGCCCATATTGGTCTTGTGTGGGGTGGGCGACTTGGGGACAGACAGCAGACAAGGACATGATTGTGACTAAGTTGTCTACTGATCCATATTGTAAGTCTATGGAATGCAATCCAATCCATATACTTATAAATAACCCTGACAAGTTCTTAGATAAATATGGTAATTTATTTGGGTTTCAAATATATGGGACGGGTTTAGACCCTGGGACAATATTGTTTATAGGGATAGAGACTGATACGGTAACCTCCCAAACTCATCAAGTATACCATTCCTTTTATGAAGAGATGAGCATAGATAATAAGATCCCCCATAATGCTAAAAACTTGTTCATTGATTTAGCCGAGAGTATTGCCGGTAGTCTTAATGTTACCAACTGCTATGTGTGTGGAGGTACTAACATGGGAGACCAATGGCCTTGGGAAGCAAAGGAGGTAATGTCCGGTTCTGAGGCAGTTGACCAATTAATATCTACACAAGCCGACTATCATATGAGTGTTAGAGGTAAATCTGAGTGGAGATTGAAGACCTCCATCATAGGTTATGTTTGCATAGCGAGGAAAGGAATGATGTATAATACTTCTGTAGGAGAATTAACTTGTCTAGGGCAAAAAGCTTATGATGATGATACAAAGAATACAACTTGGTGGTCGGCTTCAAATGTCTCAGAACCATCTAACCCGTTTGCAAGATATGCCAATTTAAAGGACGTATGGTTTGATCTATCCATCACATCTAACTGGAGAGCCCCAGCGAATTTGTACTGGATCTGTGGTAAGAAGGCCTATTCGGAGTTACCACAGGACTGGGAAGGGGCATGTGTGTTGGGTATGTTAAAACCATCCTTCTTCTTGTTGCCTATTGAAACAGGTGAGACTTTAGGTGTTAAAGTGTATGATGTGAATCATAGGAAGAAAAGGGGACCCATAGAGATAGGTGCCTGGGAAGATAATGAATGGCCTCCCCAGCGTATTATAGATTATTATGGGCCAGCCACGTGGGCAGAGGATGGTACCTTTGGTTATAGAACCCCTATTTATATGCTCAACCGCATTATAAGGTTACAGGCGGTGGTTGAGATCATTACTAACGAGACATCACAAGCGCTCAATCTTCTAGCGAAGCATAATACCAGGATGAGGACAGCAGTTTACCAAAATAGATTAGCCTTGGATTATCTTTTGGCAGTAGAGGGAGGTGTATGTGGGAAGTTTAACCTGAGCAATTGCTGTCTTCAAATAGATGACGAAGGGCAAGCAATAGCTGAGCTTACTAGCCATATGGTTAAACTAGCGCATGTGCCTACTCAGGTATGGAAAGGGTACAATCCAAGTAGTTGGTTTGGTAGCTGGTATGAGTGGTTTGGAGGGCTTAAGGCAGTGGTAGGTGGAGTCCTACTGATTTTAATGTTGTGTCTACTCCTGCCGTGTCTTATACCCTTAGTAGTTAGGTCTGTGCAAAGCCTGATAGAAAATATAGCAGAGAGGAAGGCTGCTGCACAGATAATGGCAATTTATAAATATAAGGCTCTAGATCAGGGAGAACCAATGCAGGAAGACGAGTGTTGAAGATTCACATCATAGGATAAGTCTGGTCTGGTTCAAAGGTAACTTGTGGTGTATGCAAACCAAGGTTAAGTGATGCCTCAAGTAATTGTAAAATATCAAGAGGCATCAAAGGGGGGAATGTGGTGGAATCTCGGTAAAAATAAATTTAGTAGGCCGAGATTACCACGTGGCATGTGTACGTGCATATGCTGACGTATCGATCAGTTGGTTGCACGAGGCAAGATACGATCAGTAGTGTACGGAGCATGTGCAAGAATACAGGATGTAGTATTCCCTCCTCCATTGTGCTGGACAAGCCATGCGGTCAAGCAGGAAGTTAATTCTTATTTGTAATGATTGGTCAAGAGAATGTGCGGGTGGAGCTTAATATGGGAGGAGTTATGTGCCTATATAGGGAGCCTGCACTATTGTTCAGGGCTCAGAACTTGCTGTATTTTTGGTGACATTAGTCCCTCTGAGTCCCGATCGGTGATCCAATAAAGAATCTCTTCCTTCCTGAAGAAACCTGTGTCCATCCCTCTGTGCTTTGCTTCCGTCAGTTTCTCCGGTATCAGTAGTGTTTGTAGAGAATGTGTGTTCAGGGAATGTATGTGTTTGCTTACAAGGAATCTAGTGTGCGTATAGGGGATCCAGAGTGTGTGTGTGTGTGTGTGTGAAGGACCCAGACTATGTATAGGAGATCTAGTGAGCGAGCGTATATAACGGATTCAGAGTGTATATAGGGATCTAGTGTGTGTATGTGTGTGGATGATCCAGAGTTGGGTAGAGGATCTAGTGTGTGTCTGGAATGAAATGTGTTTAGGGGTGCTGTGTGTGTGTGTGAGGGGTGCTGTGTGTATATATATATATATATATATAAATATGTTTGGAAGTATTGTGTATGTGTGTGATGCAGTGTATCGGGGGGTTGGGTTGTGTGTGTATGTGAGGGGTGCAGTATGTGTGTGTGATGGATGCTGTGTGTGAGGTGTGGTGTGGGTGCTGTGTATGATGTGTGTGAGAGTGCTGTGTGTGAGTGCTGAGTGTGATAGTTCTGTGTATGATGTGTGTGAGTGCTGTTATGATGTGTGTGAGTGCTGAGTATGATGTGTGTGAGTGCTGAGTGTGATAGTGCTGTGTATGATGTGTGTCAGTGCTGTGTATGATGTGTATGAGTGCTGAGTGTGATAGTGCTGTGTATGATGTGTGTGAGTGCTGTGTATGATGTGTGTGAGTGCTGAGTATGATGTGTGTGAGTGCTGAGTGTGATAGTGCGGTGTATGATGTGTGTGAGAGTGCTGTGTGTGAGTGCTGAGTGTGATAGTGCTGTGTATGATGTGTGATAGTGCTGTGTATGATGTGTGTGAGTGCTGAGTGTGATAGTGCTGTGTATGATGTGTGTGAGTGCTGAGTGTGATAGTGCTGTGTATGATGTGTGTGAGTGCTGTGTATGATGTGTATGAGTGCTGAGTGTGATAGTGCTGAGTGTGATAGTGCTGAGTGTGATGTGTGTGAGTGCTGTGTGTGAGTGCTGTGTATAAATGTTGTGTGTTGGGGGGTAAATAAACAAATAAAAACCTAAGTGGGAATAAATATACAAATAAAAAAAAAATAAGGGGGGTAAATAAACAAAAAAACTAATCATGCATTATATTCCCCCCCCCCGTCCCCTCCCCTCCCTCCTTACCTTTAGCCTGAGAGGAGGAGGGGTCCGGCATGCTGGTGAGTGGGGGGGTGGGGGACCGGCACTCGCACACGATCCCTGGTGGTCCAGTGGTGACTCTCGCGAGATCGGGGCGTTGCCATGGCAACGCTCCCGATCTCGCGAGAGGAGCCCGGCGGAGCTGCAAGTTAGAGCTCCGCCGGGTCCTCTCCCTCCCCAGCCGCAGGTCTATTTAAATGGGCCTGTGAGGGAGATCTTTGATCTCCCCACCGGCCCTCCATGGAAGACAGTGGGGCCGGCGCTCGGATAGCCCCGCCGGCCCTGCATAGACCGGCAGGGGATGTCCTGGGACCTCCCCTGCCGGCCTCGGCCCATGGCCACTGCGGCCCACCGGGCATTTGCCCGGTGTGCCCGATGGCCAGTCCGGGCCTGGCTTAGGATAATAATAATATGCCGAACCAGCGACACTGGCAGCTATCAAGGAGCTCATGGGGGACCTCCGCCTTGGCGTCGTGGAAGGCACCTTGCAAGAGCACACTTGAATTATCACAGAGCTGCAACAGGTGGTGAAAGAGCTGAAATGAAATCTAACCTATGAACACAGATTTGACGCCCAGGAGGATAGGAGCAGACAGAAGAACCTGAAAATCAGGGGGGTCTCACAGAATGTACCGAAGGCTGAACTCCCTCCTGGTGGCCTTGCTAACCCAGGAACAGGCAAAGGCAGTGTCTCTGGTGGGAATATACCGAATCCCGAAACCTGCCAAAGCACCACTCGCAGCCTCGGGAGACCTGGTGATCCAGTTTCAAAGGCACAAGCATAAATCAGCGGTACTAGCTGCCATTAGAGGGCAGTCACTATACAGCTTTGAGGGGATGTCACTAGCCTTCTATTCGGATCTCTCCAGGGGGGACTCTGGCCTGGTGGCAATCATTTCGCACATTCACATCCCTCTTATGGGCAAAGAATATTAGCTACTGCTGGAGCCTAGCTCACACACTACTCTTCTCACTGGGTGACTCCACCATCACCATCCATGACCAAGCTGAAGCGGCAACACATCTACAGGCACTGGGTCTTCTCCCTGATTCACTGGGCCCATCAGTACAGGCTGCGGGACACTCAAATCCTCATGCCTGGGACCCAACAGCCACTAGACGCACCACTTCAAACGCTTATGCCATGGCCACTACTTGATTTTCTATAGGGCCTAGCTACTACCATTATAGCATTTACCCCACGTGAACCACCTTAACAGTTTCCCACTCCGGGACACAACACACCAAAAGTTACCTGACTGTCACCCACACAATGTGTGTGTTCCCCCCCCCCCTGGTAATTCAGGTATGCTAAGTTCACCTTTATGGCTAGCACAACAGGTATTACCCCAACCATCATAACTTGAGAGATATCCCACGCATCATAGCCTCCACTTAACCTCACAGAATTCCATGTCCCCCTATTCATTAGATGACTTAACGATTCAGGTCTTATTGAGAGCACAAATCAGCGGATACATAACCGACAGGGGCTTACGCAGGGCCATATCGACACCGGTAGTAGTTGTGGTAGTTTTTCTTCTTTTAAATATAGTCTCCTCCTTTACTGTGTTGATTCCCTTTATGTATTTAAATGTTTCTATCATATCCCCCCGTCTCGTCTTTCCTCCAAGCTATACATGTTAAGATCCTTTAACCTTTCCTAGTAAGTTTTATCCCGCAATCCATGAACCAGTTTAGTAGCCCTTCTCTGAACCCTCTCTAAGGTATCAATATCCTTCTGAAGATACGGTCTCCAGTACTGTGTACAATACTCCAAGTGAGGTCTCACCAGTGTTCTGTACAATGGCATGAGCACTTCCCTCTTTCTACTGCTAATACCTCTCCCTATACAACCAAGCATTCTGCTAGCATTTCCTGCTGCTCTATTACATTGTCTGCCTACCTTTAAGTCATCAGAAATAATCACCCCTAAATCCTTTTCCTCAGATGTTGAGGTTAGTACTCTATCAAATATTCTCTACTCTGCCCTTGGGTTTTTATGTCCAAGATGCATTATCTTGCATTTATCCACATTAAATGTCAATTGCCACAAATCTGACCATTTTTCTAGTTTACCTAAATCATTTGCCATTTGGCTTAACATCAACCCTATTACATATCTTAGTATCATCAGCAAAAAGACATACCTTACCATCAAGACCTTCTGCAATATCACTAATAAAAATATTAAAGAGAATGGGTCCAAGTACAGATCCCTGAGGTACCCCACTGGTGACAAGCCCGAGCTTCAAATATACTCCATTGACTACAACCCTCTGTTGCCTGTTACTCAGCCACTGCCTTATCCATTCAACAATATTGGAATCCAAACTTAAAGATTGCAGTTTATTGATAAGCCTTCTATGTGCAACAGTGTCAAAAGCCCTACTGAAATCTAGGTAAGCAATGTCTACTGCACCAGCCTGATCTATAATTTTAGTTACCCAATCAAAAAAATCTATAAGATTAGTTTGGCATGATCTCCCTGAAGTAAACCCATGTTGTCTCTGATCTTGAAATCCATGTGTTTTAGATGTTCAACAATCCTATCCTTTAACATGGTTTCCATCACTTTCCCCACTACTGAAGTAAGGCTTATTGGCCTATAGTTGCCCGACTCCTCCCTATTACCTTTCTTGTGAATGGGCACAACATTCGCTAACTTCCAATCTTCTGGGACTACTCCTGTTAACAATGATTGGTTAAATAAATCTGTTAATGGTTTTGCTAGTACACCACTAAGCTCTTTTAACAGCTTTGGGTGTATTCCATCAGGTCCCATTGACTTATTTGTCTTTACTTTTGACAGTTGAAATAGAACCTCTTCCTCTGTAAACTCACGTGTAATAAATGACTCATTTATCCTTTTTCTTAACTGAGGTCCCTTTCCTTAATTTTCATTTGTAAATACTGACCAAAAATATTAATTGAAGCAGTCAGCTAGACCTTTATCCTCTTCTACATATCTTCCTTCTTTTGTTTTTAATCTAACTAATCCTTGTTTTACTTTTCTCATTTATGTATCTAAAAAAAGTTTTGTCCCCCTTATTTACTGACTGTGCTATTTTCTCTTCTGTGTGTGATTTGGAAGCTTTTATAACTTGCTTAGCCTCTTTCTGCCTAATCTTATAGATCATTCTGTCTTCCTCACTCTGGTTTTTTTTTAAATTACTAAATGCTAACTTTTAGTTTTTTACCATTTTGGCCACATCTGCGGAGTACCACAGTGGTTTCTTGAATTTTTTGCTTTTACTGACAAGCCTAATGCAATTTTATGTTGCCTTCAGTAGTGCAACTTTTAAATAATCCCATTTCTCTTGGATTCCATTTAAATTGCTACAGTCTGATACATGATGCGTCCATGATTTCATATGACAGCCATGAGGTCTGACGGCAATGACTATGTTTATTAAAATGAATGAACCATTAGGACATGAAGCCAGACTGTGGATGCATTCTGTAGATAAGTGGAGGCCGAAATGTAGATCCCCAGCTGCCTAAGAACTACAATTCCACATATGATTTGTCACCCATTAGCTGGAGCAGTTTCATCATCCCTGCTCTAGATCTATTTAGGATGGTAATTTCCAAGTACCACCGCCAGACAATGATACTTTGCCAGCGAATGTGATCAATGTAACTCTTGTTGAACCTGAGCAGTGTCAGTCCCCACAGACACTAATAGTTAAGACATTGGTTATGCGGCATGTACAGAACCTGGATAGTATATAATTTAATCTCATACACTTGATTAAAGGGTATCCATTGTCATGGTCTTAAGCAGGTCAGGTAAGAGATGATTGCCAGGGTTAACATTTGGTTCTTTATTGGTAACTTTTGACATAGTTACACAAAATTTAGTATACCTAGCAAGCCAAAAAGAGGAAGAAGTTACTTGTATCCAGGAAGGTAAGAGAAAAGGGTAGAATTGAAAAAGAGATTTAGGCAATATGTCCCAGACAAGTATAAGGTAACAGGGAAACCTATAAATGAGACAATAGGTAGAAGGAGAACCTATAAGTGAAATTATAGGCAAGTATTATGAGAGATTACGGAAAAGAGTTAGGCAATATGCCTCAGACATGTTATTAAAGGAACACTATAGTCACCTAAATTACTTCAGCTAAATAAAGCAGTTTTAGTGTATAGATCATTCCCCTGCAATTTCACTGCTCAATTCACTGTCATTTAGGAGTTAAATTACTTTGTTTCTGTTTATGCAGCCCTAGCCACACCTCCCCTGGCTATGATTGACAGAGCCTGCATGAAAAAAAAAAAACTGGTTTCACTTTCAAACAGATGTAATTTACCTTAAATAATTGTATCTCAATCTCTAAATTGAACTTTAATCACAAACAGGAGGCTCTTGCAGGGTCTAGCAAGCTATTAACATAGCAGGGGATAAGAAAATCTTAATTAAACAGAACTTGCAATAAAGAAAGCCTAAATAGGGCTCTCTTTACAGGAAGTGTTTATGGAAGGCTGTGCAAGTCACATGCAGGGAGGTGTGACTAGGGTTCATAAACAAAGGGATTTAACTCCTAAATGGCAGAGGATTGAGCAGTGAGGCTGCAGGGGCATGTTCTATACACCAAAACTGCTTCATTAAAGGACCACTATAGTGCCAGGAAAACATACTCGTTTTCCTGGCACTATATTACTCCCTAGCCTTTATTTACCCTTAGAATTCCTTGACTCTGGAAGGGAAAGGTAATAACTTTACCTTTTATTTCAGAGGCACCTCCTCTCTCACCAGCCTCATTAAGCGCCGGCAGAATGCTTGCAGCGGCAACGCTCTTGCTTGGCGCATTCCTTGACATCTCACTAAAGCACAGTACAATGGCACCGCAGACGCCGGCGTGCTCTCACCTTGGTACACAGTAGAAGCTTACTTGCGCCTCCTGTCAATGAGACAGCACTAGAGGATTAGGGGGAAGGCTTAACCCATTCATAATTATAGCAGTTTCTCTGAAACTGCTATATTTATGAAAAAATGGGTTAACCCTAGAAGGACCTGGCACCCAGACCACTTCATTAAGCTGAAGTGGTCTGGGTGCCTAGAGTGGTCCTTTAAGCTAAAGTTGTTCAGGTGACTATAGTGTCCATTTAACAAGATATATTTAGATAGTGAGAAAACCTATAGTTGTAAGTATAGGTTTTTAGAGAGACAAGTAAAACAGAACAGTTTCAGAATTGCAAGTAAAATAAAATAGACTATTAGAGAATCAGCCCCCTTGCAGGTAAATTACACTTTGTAATGAAGAAATTCTAGGATTACATGTAGACATGTAATTATCTGTAGAAGAGATACTTGATTTATGGTTGGAGAGTCTCTGGTTATTCGTAGAATCAGGAAAGAAAGTCCTTATTAGCCTTCAGGAGTCAGGCTATGCCGATTTGGAAAGTTTGTACCAGGCTAGTAAAGTAAGGCAGGTTGGTATTAGGAAATCAGGTAGAGTTGATCAAGTTGGTATTCAACAGGCTGGTAACAAAGTAGGTTGGTAACAAAGCAGGTAGGTAGAGTAGATCAGGTTGGTATTCAGCAGGTTGGTTGTGTAGATCAGATTGGTATAAAGCAGGTTGGTAGTATAAAGTAGATTGGTAACAAAGCAGGTTGGTAAGCGTAGATCAGCTTGGTATATAGGAGCCAGTAACAGAAGTTTTTCAGGTAGACCATCAACTTCATTTAAAGTAAAGGTCCAGTATTGAACTGGGTGTAGTCTTTTGTAGGAGAAGTAATCAGCCCATGCAGGTTAGGTAGAGTGAAGGAAAGTTCAGCCCTAGTGGTTAGGGAGGCCACTAATGGCAAATCTTAGTTACTGCTGGAACAACATTTAATAAAATGAATAAAGTTCTGAAATTAGGTTTTGGATCCTGACATGCATTTAGAAAAAAATGTTTGCATGGGAACATTCAGATCTGATCATTATGTCAATTCTACACTATTTGACCAAAGGTAAATGGACACCTGTGCAAATTATTGAGTTCATGTGTTTCAGCCTCACACATTGCTAATAGGTGCACAACATCCAGCACAAAGCCATGAAATGTCCATAAGAAACATTTACAGTCAACTGGGTCATACTGAAGAGCTCAGTGACTTACAGAGTGGCTTATCGAATGGCACTGTCATAGAGTGCAACCTTTGCTTCAAGTCAGTTTGGGACAAATATAGTAGGACAGATATTTCACAGTCAGCTGTAAGTGCTATTATTATTAGATGTATGCCTTTAAGAGCAACAACAGTCCAGCCATGAAGTTGTATACCATGCACACTCACATGAAGTGTTTTAAAGGTGTAAATTATCAACCATCTGTTATATCATTCACTATAGAGTTCCAACCTACCCCTGAAAGGACATAGGAACGGTGTATCAGCAGCTACACAAAATTGGTTTCCAAGCAGCTCTATAGAAGTCTCACGTCAACATATCAGGAATTAGCTGGAGTGATGTAACCCTGGGGCAGTCAAAACATTCTCTGAGCAGAGGAATTATGTTTTATTATCTGGCAATCTGGAAGAATTTGGATGTGGATTAGGGCTGTTTTAACAGCATTATAGGCCCCCGGGCAAAAAAGGGCACTGGGGCCCTGCCTAAACAATAAATCACAGGACTGAAAATTATCAATAAAATTAAGCTTAAGATGTATTGGTACTTCCAAGAAAATCAATGTTTAAACATTGAAAAACATGTTACACAGGAGAGATTAACAGGCAAAAACAAATGTTTAGTAGGTAGAGGGGGAAGCAACTGACAAGGACTGTTAAAAATATTAGAAAAAAGAATGATGTGTTTTGATTTTATTTTGCTGATCTACAATTAGTACATGTATGTTGTTTTCGTCAAGGTATGTTTTTACAACAGCAAGATTGCATACAGATAAAACTTATACTGAGGTGATAATTTCACATAAATATTTTAATAAAGAGGGTTTTTGAAGGCAACAGTTTGGACAGTTTGGGAAGGGTCCTTTTCTTTTTCAACATGCTCTTGTGGACAAAGTGAGGTCGATGAAGACAAGTTTGGTCTGGATGAACTCAAGGGTCTGCATGGTCAGAGCCCTGATATCAACCCACGGAACACCTTTAAGATTAATTAAAATGCTACTTGCGAACCAGACCTTCTTGTACAACATCAATGCCTGACAGAACAAATTTCCTTTTGGTTGAATAGGCTAGCATTCTCCCAGGCACAATCCAGAATTTTGTGAAGAAACTTCTCTAATTTAGTGTCTAATACCTCTTTTCTGTATTTAATTTGTGTATCTCCCAATTAGTCCAGAGCTCTGTTTTCTAGAATCTCTCTCTATAACCCCTTTTTTAGAGTTTCTCTCCATCCCCTTTCTAGTATCACTTCCTACCATTGCTTTTTTAGTTGGGGAGTTTCTTGACCAATTACCCAAGACTTTAGTCCATCCTTGGCAGTTGTGAGATTATGGTGCTATCAGGCGAATAACATCAGCCCCTGGTTCTGTGTCAAACACTTCTGTTTTACACTTTCGCATTAGAAATGTCAGTTTCATCTAACTGGGGAAGATACGTCTGACATAGAATCGCGTAACGGCACCAGTAACCTGATACCACTATGTAACAGACCGCCTAGGACTTGTACATTTCTCCCAACCGCCACCTTCCTCTAAAAACGACTGTATTACTATTATTTGTCTCTACTGCTCGTGCCTCCCAGCCCAGTGTGCCCTCTTTGCGGTCCATGAGTTCTCATAGACCAGCCAGAGAGCTGCTAGAAATCCTGAACGGGTCAGGTAAAACTTTGACAAGGGTACTGTCGGAACCACCAATCTGGGCGCTGTTTAAAAGGGGTTACAAAGGAGGTGGTGAGGCCTCCAACTATACCAAGGACTTGAGGGAGCTCAATCACTGACCGAAAACGTTATCATTTTAGGTGACCGGCATTCTACCCAACACTGTGGAACTCGTTGGATCGGAGGATGGTCGTGGCCCGCTGACAACTTCACCTTCCACCTAACTCGGGCTTGTCACCTCCAATCCGTGCACTTCTCGGACAGGTTGGGTGCTCACAAGAGAGCTTCTCTGGGTTGGCACTATTGTGGGAGTGAAGGTACAGGAACCCTAAGTTTTATATCTTTTTGTTAACCAGTGTCAAGGTGTCTGCCTGCTAATAACATTACCTGCCCAGGTACAGACACCAAGAAGCCAGAAATGTCACTATTCTTTTATTCTCCTTGGGGACCCCCTGTTGAGGACCCAGGTATAAAAGTGCGACCAGTATGACCAGAGACCAGTTCTTATTCACTCTTCACTAAGTCTCGGCTAGTATTTGCCTGTGACCTGGCAGTGACAACCCAGCTACTCATGGGTATACTGCCTTCACATGAAAAGAAACATTAAAGGGACACTGTAGACACCCAGACCACTGCAGCTAATTGAAATGGTCTGGGTGCTGTGACCCTTTTCAGAGAACTGCAATGTTTATTATTATTATTTTTTTATTGTTGCCATTTATATAGTGCCAACAGATTCCGTAGCACTTTACAATATTATGAGAGGGGGATTTAACTATAAATAGGACAATTACAAGAAAACTTACAGGAATGATAGGTTGAAGAGGACCCTGCTCAAACAAGCATAGAGTCTATAGGAGGTGGGATATAAAACACATTAGGACAGGAAATAGCAATCAAATTAGGTGGTAGTGAAACAGAGCTGGAGGAGAGAGTAAAGTGCTGCCTTTTAGGAGAGAGCAAGAGACATGTATGTAAGGTAGAGGTTACTCTGGGAGGACATAAGCTTTCCTAAAGAGATGGGTTTTAAGGCACTTCTTAAACGATTAACCCCTTAAGGACACATGACGGAAATATTCCGTCATGATTCCCTTTTATTCCAGAAGTTGTGTCCTTAAGAGGTTAAAGACTAGGGGAGAGTCTGATGGCGGTAGGCAGGCTATTCTAAAGGAAGAGAGTTGTCCATGAGAAGTCCTGCAAGCATGAATTGGCCATACGGGTGCGAGCAGCGGAGCATACCTATGGATCTGTGAAGAGATATAAGAGGGGATAGAATTGTTTAGTGCTTTATAGGTATGGGTTAGCACTTTTTGAGAGGACCGACTAGAGAGGAAAATCAGTCTGGCGGCAGCATTCATTACAGACAGACAATAAGGCTTTTGGGAACACCAATTAGGAAAGGGTTACAATAATCCATGCAGGAAATTACTAGAGCATGGACAAGCTCCTTGGTAGCGTCTAGCATAAGAAAGGGGCAGATGCAGGCTATGTTTTTAAGGATTTGGCAACATACTGGATGTGAGGCCTGAAGGTGAGGCCAGAATCAAGTATGACACCAAGACAGTGTGCTTTCAAGGAAGGACTTATTTGGATACCACTAACTTGAAGGGAGAGTGAAAGTGGAGGATCAGTATTAAGAGGAGGAAAGACAAGGAGTTCAGTTTTAG